TGGCCGATTTGAAGATGTGAGAATCGGCCACGTCAAGTTTGACCAGTTGAAGCTTTCTCGACCAGGTTGGACCAGTTTGACTCACATCAATCTTCGCGGACATCCGCAAAACTGGGCCACCCTGTCAACCTTGTGCGGGATTCCCCTTGAAATGTCCCTGCCGCACACAACACATAGCTTCCGCGTTGATAGAGTCAGACAATGCCAGACGTTCAGCACATCAACATGCTTTCTGACCTGCCTACACTCTATAAAACCGTTAAACCCTATCGAGAAACATGCAGTCTAACTGCATACAGGGGGGCCAGCTCCGGTGTCATAGACCTGAGGCCTGAGACTCATGACCATTTTGTTTTCACCCCAGTTGGTAACATATGCCTTGATCAGCGGGAGAAAATGAATCGATGAATAAGGAGGACAGGTGTCTCGCTTGAATCCACTTGGTTGTCGTTTTCGACCGGTGCAGGATCGGTGGTACAATAAATCGATGAACAGTTCGGCAGGAATTTGGATCACTGCAAGGTGGTACAATTGGCCCACACCCACCTCTTCAACGGTTTTGCTGAGGCAAGACGCCAGGCCGCAATGCAGCGAGAGGAGCGTGAGAGGCGTGAGGAAGAAGAGAGGCGCTTGGAAGAGGAGCCAAAGACCCTGACCGAAGAGCTTTGCCCAAAGCCTTGCCCAAACATTATGAGACCATGTGGTGCCCGCAAAGAGGTAGTCAGGCTAATATTGGTAAAACTGACATCATGGAGTCAAACTGTGGCTTGAGTGTACCTTACGTGCCGTGCATTTGAGGACCCAAGAAATGGGAGGGACATGAGGCAGTGGTAGATTTTTACAGGCAAATGCAGACCATTCGACCGATAGTGTTTAACACTGCACATGATGACTTTCTGGACCTTAGAGGTGATTTGCTTGAGTTGTGGACCTGCGTCAGAGTGGCCGTGCAGGAGAAAGAGGAAACTTTTGCATGCACACACTTTCCGCTTGGCCAAATTGAAAGGCCAATTCTCTTGAAATTGAAGATCAGAGGCTTGCAATCAAAGATCAACAAGCATCAATAAGCCATTTGATATTTTTGAGATCTCCAATGGCCTCAGGATCTGGGTTTCTGACTCATCACGGTGTTTGACCAAGCTGGTGCGTTCTTGGTCTCATCGCTTGGTCTCAGGGGCACCGTGACCCACCCTGAGTGTGAGAGTGTTCCTCTAGCTGCACCACCAGGGTCCGGACGACCCAGTAGCTATCAACAAAAAGACTTGATCCAGATTGGTGGTCTTCGGGTCGTTCTGTTTGACAGTCATCCGCACATTGACATTTTTTGTATTGTGCCGCTCAGGAGCAACGCAAAGCCGAAGCTCAGAAGGAGGCTCAGGAGGCAGTCCGCCTGTGTTCATAAGAACATCCTCCAAGCCGAAGGTGGGCTGGAACTTGGAATTCCCAAAAGTCCGTGCTAAGGAGTTTATACAAAATGGCAACATCACTATTTGAGATTGTATGTGTTGAAAGCAAATCATGAAGCAAACACATGGTGGGTATATTGGCTTGGTGAGAGCCTCCCCGAAAACACAGGAGGCGCCAGCGGCAGGGAAGCGACCACGCGGGCAGAGCGTCAACTCCCGGGCAAATCGGGGAGAGCTTGTGCCTTTTATGTGCCTTTTATTCTTGGTTAGGGTTCTTGGCTGTATGTTGACTGAGATTTTTTAGGGGGTTCATATATTATATATTAATGGGTTCATGTTGGAAAGCAGTTCTGGTGATTTTTGGACCTTTGCAAAACATACAATCTTACAATCCTTGAAATAAGACTCATGGAAGTGCACAACCACCCTTGTAGAGGAAGGTATTTAATCTTCCAAAGGGCCATGGTATCCACTGGTATCCACGTAACCATGATGATTTCAGGGAGTGTAAACAGTTTGCCCCTTTCCGGCACCGAAGGGTGCACAAAACCCTCATCAAACAAAATGACCATCCTCCTTTCCTCATGGTGCACGTTGCACATGGCGTACGCTGGACGTGGCCATTAAAAACACTTCGACGAGTTGCTGGGTAGGAGTTGTATTTGCTTATGTGAGTTGTATTGACTTTCTGAACAAGCTCTTGGGAGTGCTTTTGGAAGCAACAGTTGGTAATTGTGCTTTTTTGTCAATATTGGGTGTCTTTTATGCAGGTTGCAATCAAGCAGCAATCCCAACAGTGGACTGTGGGAAACATAGTTGACTGGGTTTTTTGTTTAAGTATCATATCAGATTGATAAACCGTTCATGCTACCCTTCAACATATACTGTATATATTATTGTTTGTTTACATATTAATCACAAGCTTACCTAGGCAGGTTCAAAACTTCACTGGATTCGGTTGGTATATCAGAGGTTCATGGGCAAAGTCCCCTGTGCGACAACTCCCTGTGCCCTGTGTGAAGCATACATCTAGACAGCAGTCAGCAATCGTAAGCATGTTTGCTGCAGAGTTTCTTCGAGTTCTTCTTAGACCTCTGTGACACTGTGCACCTAAAGTGTCCAGGCCGCATCTACCATCTATCAAGGCCGCCTCATACCATGTTCACGACTTCGCTGTTCAGTCACGACTTCGCTGTTTGGTGTATTTGTGTTGAGTTTGAAGCCCGTGTGGTCTACATACCGTACCAAACCTACCCCCAAAAGTGTCCCACTGCCCACGTACTGTAGCAGAATCAGGGTTTGGGCGACGAGTTCCGGCCGAGACTCAGTCACTTTCTTTGTCCAGAGGCCGCGCGAAGGGCTGAGGAGGCCAGAAGGGCCGCGTGTGTCGGCGGTGTCGCGGCAGTGCGAAGGTTTTGTCACCTTTGCATGTGGGACGTGTGTGACGTTTGTGTGTTTGTGTGTGCTTAAAACCATTCTCAAAGTGTTCTTTCACAGTGGTACAGAGCATGGCGCTAAAATGCGCTAAACAGAAGTATTCTATCCAAGTTGCACCTCAAAACTCCTGCACCAGATCCCAAGCAATACAAAACCACTGATCCTGGACCCCGGTATTTTTGTCACAAGGAGCTACTTCGCACAAGGCCTCCCCTCACCAGTGGCCTCAAACTGTGTCTTTCTTGAGTCACTTCTCAGTAGCGTAGCTTCTATAGCTACTAGTAGTAATGCCCTTGTTCCTATAGTCAGCCAGTTGTTCCCCTGGTCAGCTTCCTGATTGCTCAAGTCGGAGGATGGATCGGGGTAGCGATGCCGGCGACGCGGCTCGGATCCGCCCGGGCTAGGTGGCCATCGGCTCGGGCTTTTCGGCGACGCACGCCTTGAGAAGGTGCGGAATCGACGGTCGGTGGTGGGTCCTCGGGCAGCACCGCGGCGGCGGCGTGCGGATGGGCGAATGGAGCGCGGTGGGAATCTGGTGAAGTTGGTGGTGGAACAAACCATTCTCTGGTGAAGTATGGATCTTCTTGGTGAGTGTGATCCATACTTCGTGGTGTTTTGCAGAACTGCTTGTTGGATCCAATTCAAAGTGATAGAGGACTTGTTGCCAGGACCCTAAGTGGCTTCTCAGGTGCTACAGTCAATCCCTCCAAAACTCCCAGCCAAGCCGTTTACAGCCGGTGCTTTTCACCGGCTCTTCTCAGTGTTCACCGTGCTCCAACTCGACGTCCGATCCAACGAAAGAAACAGACCGGTCGGTGCTTTCTTCAGAAACTCCGACCGGTCTGGCCAGGTGTACCGGTGACCCTGGTCCGTAGGGTTCATGTGTTCTTTTCCCTTTTTGAATCCACTTCTGTGTTTTTACCTTTTCAGGTTGTATACTTCAAGCAGATCCAAGTGAAGCAGTTGTATACTTCGTAAACTTCAAGACCATCGTTTTGAAGGGTTCCAGGTCTCAAGCAAGTTTCTTTTTCCAGAGCCAAGTATCGAAAAGGTGCACAGTGCTTCAGCCGTTTTGTCTGATGTTTTTGTTGTTTGTGTAAATTAGCTTGGTTTCTCGGCGTGGGAGAGGTATACTGGCAATCTGCATGATGAGTCTTTGCGTCCGGCGGTTTGCGGCAGCCATTTGTCAGCTTACAATAATATGCCTCATTCCCACCCAATCTTGGAGGTGTGAAGAGTTCAGCCTTAGCTTTGTAGTTGCCGAACCTTTCTCCAGCGTGTACTTGATGCCATTGGTTTTGGGGCCACCCTGACTATCAAATTAGGATCAACAACGCACAAGAATAGTTGTTTGAAGGTTTGGTGTGCCCAGAAATAATGTGTTTTACTATATACAATCAAAAATTGTTTTTTCATGACCTCACGTTAGCACATGTTTGGCCCTACACATTCAGAACGTGCGATTTCAGGCTGATTTGAGGGGTCCTTGGCACCTTTGCCCTCTCGTTTTAAGAGGCTCCTGTCGCCGCCATGTTCCCTTTAGACGCCTGGCTGAGAAGGCTTATCTAGTTCGAAGCTCCTGTAGTGCCTTTTAATAAAAGCTTTCTTTATGCGAATGGAAGTGCAGCGACACGTACAGTGCAACTTGTACATATATATGTACCATATGTACTTTGGCTCAAGGATCAAGCGACTAGAAAAGGTGCGGTTTCCGTTCCGACGCTACGCCGCTTATGGACCGTCAGTGATAGCTTCAAACTTCGCTGATTAAGATCCACTCGCACTTTAAAAGGTACATAAAAGAAAGCATGTGGTGAACTGGCAGTGCTTCATGGAATGTGGCCGGAGAAACCACGTAGTTTTTTCTGTTTGGAGCAGCTCTAATTTTTGCTGATGGGAGTCCTTGGAGAGGAGACTGACTTTATCGTTTCTAGTTTCTGTACTGGACTTCTGTCAACAGTGGACCGAGGAAGGTCAACCAGGTGTAAGATGGTTAGGAAGCCCTCTTGCGGAAAAGAACCTTCTCATCCAAAAGTTTTTTCCTTGGCTCTGCCCAGATCCCCTAAATCCAACCAAATCCCCTGTCATGCACTGGGTCACTGTAGATCCCGTGGCTAGGAAGCACCTTTTATGTGTTTTTTAATGCATGTTATGCACATGCACGTGATCTTGCGTGTTGTTGTTGGTGACTCCAGACTGCCTGCTCTGGCTCTGGCGCAGACGTCTTCTGTCTTGCTTCTGCCCGAGGATAACCGCTTGGACTTGCTGGAGTTCGAGGTTCAGCGCCTCCGAGCCCATCAGACCCTCGGGCTGAAACGGGGATGCCGAGACCCGAGACGAGACCCAGAGACAGTGGATCCGGACCTAGAGACAGGCTAGTAATTACAATTCTAATTAAATTCTTTTAGTTACTAGTAGTAAGGCACTTGTTTCTAGTAGCTTCTTGTTACTACTAGTAAGGCACTTGTTACTAGTAGCGATGCACTTGTTCCTAGTAGCGAACAAGAAGAGATGTTCATTTTTGTTCAACACCCAGACAGACACATCATTTGACCTGAGAACAGGAGGAAACAACTCTTCCGGTGGATAATAGAAACACCTTGAGAACAGGTGGCCCACCAACTGACTGTTCATGCCCCTGCTGCAACTACACGCTTCACCGCCGGTGCTCGCACGCCGGGTTGCGGCACTGGCGGTGTCGGTGGTCCCAGGAGGGCTTTGAGCCAAACGCCGCGGATCAGCTCAACGCAGCAGACCCCACGTGGCAATGTGTTGCCGCCCATGCCTCCCAAGCCGACGTCCGGGGCGATGCGTCGCGACGGAGATTGTTGGAAATTTGTTGGGTGAAGTGGGTTGTAAGGACAGTGGAGCACGTTCTGTTTTTTGTTTTTGCCTTATGGTGGACATGTTTTTGTGTTTTTAAAATGTATTTAAGATGCAACTGTATTGTACGTTTTGTGCATACACTCAGCGTAATAATGTAACTATATACATATGTTGTGTCTGCAGTTTACATAGACATGAATGGTTCATACTTGAACAGTCACTGGATCGGGGACATGATAGACACAACATGCTATGATTTGATGCAGAACAAATTACATGTGTTTGGTGGTATAACTTTTGACTTGTGCTTGTGCATGTCGGATAGACAGCATACTCAAAGCTGGCAGTGTTTCAGTGAGCTGTTGTGCATCAGGTCAAGAGTCTTTGTGTGGAATTATCTCAACGGTTTTGCTTTGGGGAGCTCAGGGCTGTTGAAACTTATCAGCAGGGTTCAACATTGGTGTTGAGGTAGCATGTGATCTTGAAATGATGGCAATAAATCTTCTGAATAAAGATATTTCGATGCTTGCGTGGCTAGATTGCCAGCGTATTTATCCTATGATTCTCACATCAGGTGGATTCCCGCACAAAGTATATATATATAAGTATATAATTCATGAGTGTGTTCATGTATATAGACAATTAGTTAGACAATTTTATTCTTATATTATATCTACTGTATTCTTCTGACAACTGCAACCATACCAATCTAGAGGTTTCTCGGACCTATCCACTCTCTCAAGTTCATTGATGGTTTGACTGGTGCTTAGTAGTGAACAAATGACCTATAGTGAGGGGCTCATTTCATTCCCAGAAGAGCAACAGTCCGGGAGTTGATCTTCCTCCACGGTCGTTCGCAGCAGTGCCACGCCACTTGAGGCCGCCCCCAGCCGTCGAGACTGCGGCCGAAGCAGCGGAGGAAACCATGACGGAAGAAGACTTTGAGGTGCATCTTTCGTTGGAAAGGTCTTGTCAAGATGGTCAAGCTTCAAGCTGAGATTTCCGGGGTGACAGAACAATTATTGATGCTTCAATATGCTAGAAGGAACTGTTTTATGATCCAACTGACAGTTACTGTAGTGCCTTTTTTTTGTTTCTCTCTTTTGGTGGAGGATTCCTTCCGATGCCGCTCACTGATGCCAACCGAAGCTCAGAGATGGCATACGCCATTTACGCCAGGAACTGCAGAGCCTTCACAAGGAGTTGGTGCACTCACATCGGCAGCTCAAACAGGAGCATGTTACGGCCTTAGCCGCGCGACCTGCGTGCTCTGTGAAAGATCCTTTCGTGCCGAGATCATTCGCCAGCGGGTGGTCCGTGTATGGAGAAAAACAGGCTGGTTCAGCAGGGGAGGGAAGATTTGTGGAGTGGTTGGGTGAAGACGATGTTGGGTTTTCCACACTTTCATAACTCAGTCCTAGTGGCAGAAAAACCCACATATTTTTACGTACTTTTGCCCAGGGTAGAGATGGATATAGGAGATAGATGCGGTGCTGGTGCTGGGTGGTGTATTTTAATGTCGAGGAGAATGGGTCAAGGAGACGCTTTGGATCGACTAAGCCTATGGTGTTTGTACTGAAGGAGCTGGAGAGAACTGGGCTAGTCAGCTGGAGAGCACTGGGTTTGCGAGGTGCTCACACAGTTTGGTCGATGAGTAAGCAACCACCACTATTATATAGCACCTGCCAAATGCCAACCTTCTATTTGTAGCTCAACATAGAAATGGACCCTCTTCAAATCCAACAAGAAATAAACAAGGGATGAACGACAATATATGAATCAACAAACTTCTGCAAGAATTATCAATAATAATTACATATGATCATATGATCCCATATATATATATACAGTTACCTACTAGAGAGTTGACTTCTAATCAGTCAGACGATTATATACCTTTTACCCGGAACATCATGAAAGTGGGATGCTCAATGTCCATGTCTTTTAGAGGGCAAATCTTGCAGCTTTTGGGAGTCATTTTGTTTCATCTCCCTGAGGCTGAGCTTCTTAAAGCCCACGAGGACCTGTTGAATGCCATGCGAAAGCAGGAAAACAAGAGTGCGATCGTCAAGTGCCTGGGACCATCTCAACGTGCCTTCTGTTTGCCTTGTTCATATGGGTGTGTGGCTCAAATAGGGAGAGGCCCCAATGAATGCGCGTTGGTGTATGTTTGCCTTATGTTAGGATGTTTGGGGAGGGTCTCGTGTTTTTATGCATTGGCCGCACGTTTCGACAATTTGACAGGTGGAACATGCTAGTGGGCACCCTGCAAAGTTGACCACTTGTTGCATGTAAAGCTTACTGCACCAGCCACTGCAAGTGTCATCATTATCTTAATCCATTTGTTCACTCTTCTGTTCAAAAAGCTCTTCTGTTCAAAAAGTAGTTCTGAGTCGGCTTCGGTTGAGTGGCTTCGGTCGGGCGGCCCGAGGTCACCGACTGGGAACCCAACAGGTCATGGACGTGCATCCGAAATCGCGGGCCATACCATCCGCGTTGGCCGATGATTTCAGTGAGTGTATTGACTATACCGTAGATACCCGTCTCTTTGGTTTTTTCTTTTTCGGATAGCTCACCCGAATCCGGGAATCTCAGCGGCTTCTGAGACACCCGTCGCTGGGCGTGGTGCGCTTGGACTATGACTATCCGCCAGCGCCTGGGGACTCGGATTGCCCCGGAACCCTGGCTCAGCAGTGTCAGCGCTGGAAGCCACGGCATGGGCGCGAATCCAGGTGCGCGGTAGACGAGATGATGATGATGATGATGATGATTCATTGAAGAAATTAAGATTCCAAAGAGGTTGGATGGGAGGAGCTAAGAACTTAACTTATGACTGTTTAGCATATTTATGAATCCCAAGATCACCGCAGCATTGACGCTACTATAGTTACCACCTGGGGGGACCTGACGCGCCTGATATCATCCATCTTGTGTGAGACTGCCCCATAGGCCCATTTCTCAGTCTCATCCAGAAAAAGACCCCACGGGGCAGGTAAGTTGTTCTATTCTCCAAGAAATGCAGCGTTTTGTCATGTTTTGTTTCTTTTGTTCATCGGAAGGAAGGAGATCCAGACAGCGTGCGATTGGTGAGAGCGATCCCATCTCAGTGAGGCCGATGAGGTAGGAGGGGACCTCCTTATAAGCTGTCCTCGCTCCTCCAGCAGAACAAGGTCGTAGAAATCGTTGGTCAATTCGGCGCCCCGCGCCACGCCACGGAGAAGGCGAAAGCACCCTGCGGGTCGCTCAGGAAGCTTTGGCTACGACGTCTTCTACCGCTGCGTGCCCGGGCTGACCTTTGAGATGTGCCAGGAGTGGAGAACTGACAGAAACGGCCCAAATAGGGGGGGTAGTGCTAATGTGCTATGGACGCTTGAGCAGGAGATTAGGTGCATTTAAGAGTATACTGAGTATATTATGTGTTTAACAATATTTGTAATTTTTAAACTGTTTACAAGGAACAAAAAAGAAAGACGGACAAAAGATAGTTTTTATTTTCTAAGGAGAACTCAACAACTAACCATAATCTATCAACCCAAGCAAGCAAAGGACAACAAACAACATTCAAGGTAATTCCTCTCATCACTTTGTTGACCCCAAAACACCCTCCATTTTCGGAACATGGCCGAGCTCAAGCCGCGCAGTCGGGCGCCTTCACGGAGATGGTGGAAAGGCGCTTTGCAGATGCCATCAAACACTTGGAGGCCGTCTCTGGTGTCCAAAAAGAGTTGTTTTCGTTTGACCATCAACCCAGCTTTTGCTCAGGAGCGACTGATATTTTCCTTTATAAACTCGGAGCCCTTCGGGGGGGATCCACAGGGAGTTCCCCATCCCCGACAGCTGGAAAGGGTGAACCTGTTCCACAGCTCGGGAGCCAGAGATCGATGTCCGACTGGTCAATGGTCTCTTAAGAATTGGTGAAGAATCGATCTAGTGTGTCAATGGAAGATGTGTGAACAATTGTGTCAATGGTCTCCTATTGTGTCGACAAGATCCATGTATAGTAACATAGTAACATCGATCGATTGTCGATCGATATATATATATAGAGTATCTATATGGTATTGATATGTATGTTACATTTCTAGGACTGTTTAAGCACTTTGCCATCAGTACCTCGACAATGTAGAAGTTCAGTTTCGAAAGGGGAAAGTCAAAGAGGGTTCAGCGATTGTATCACCGAGATGTGGTGTGGTATTGCCCAAGATTGCGCCAGGCCCGTGGTGTGTCGGCCATCACTGGAGACTGTGGCTTTATGATGGCCTTCCAGGTTCTTGCCAGGCGAAATGTGGGCGGAACTCTCAACATAAAGCCTTTTGAGGTCCCTGCTGGTGAACCCCCCCTTGCTGCCAGCTGGCCGGGCCTGATATTCTGGAGTCATGAAAACTACCAGAAGTGCAGAACACATCATGGGGTCTATAATGGTTTTTTGCTAGGACTCACAAGAATGTGCGATTATATTAATTGTAACTTCGTAAACTTAAAAGCTTTTGCTGCTTGTAAATGAACCGAGACACCCCTTTAATAGTGGTTTGTTGTACTGTATATTCTTTGGCAACTAACGGTTAGTAGTACACCCACTTCCGTTTGATTCCTGGTCAGTCCCCCTATGTGCCGTTGTCAGAAGGACACTGTCTCTAGCTGAACCATGCTGAACCCAGGTCCATTGTCACATTGCAGTCTGGTGCAATGTGCGATAAAAATAGATGCACCGGATTCCACCTGCAAATCTTAACACTGCGTGGTGAAGGTATACGGCGTTTTTTCTTCCTCTTTTGGTTTTCTCCTTTCAGGCTACCAAACTCTCCCAGTCAACATACTGACAATCACCTCTTTTGGCCTGGTGGAAAACCCGTAGAGGAAGGTCGTCTTCCAGCTGCATCTGGGAACATTTGAGTCAGCTCTGCTTAATTAGTTGGAAGATGCCAAGTACACTTCCTTCAACCTGCCTTTCTGCAGGAAAATTGCCAAGAAGCCGATCTTCATGTCCTCCATGGTGCAATGCCCCATCATCGCAGCCTCCTTGGACCCTGGCCCCTCGTTCCGAAGGTCCCCCCGATGGAGAAACGTTTTGCCCCTTGAAACATGGTGTGTTGGATGTGGAGGCGCGAAAAAGCCCGAAGGCTTCCAAATTGGACGCGGTTATATATAAGCACAGACATTGCAAACAGACGATGACTCCGAAAACCTGTCACATGTGCCTGGATATGAGTTGCACCATGGAGGGTAAGTGGACGCATATGCCGCATATGTAGGTTTGCATTATGGAAAGGGGGCACTGCAGTAATTCGATGTAATCATTGGTTTTTTCTGGCTTAAGATGGTTCCAGATCCACCACCTGAAAAGCATATAGCAGCAAATTACTACACATTTGTCAACATGTGAACCATTCGATTTGCTTGGAAGCGATGTTTTCGGTGCACGACCTCCAACACCTCCACCGACCCCGAAGGATACCACACCAGTCTCCCGACTCCGTCCACACGACCCCCTCGCTGAGATGATGATGTTCTCATCCTCACGGCGAACGACAAGTCCCTCAAGCCACAGACGCCCGAACGGGTCGGCCGAAGAGGGTCGACGGCGGAGAGGGTCCACCGAAGCCTTATCGCGCGCGCGCGACCGGAGGTGGGCGACGGCTGGAAGAAGGAAGTTGGATCGGCGAAAAACGCTTGAATTTGTTGTTTTTCGTTTTGAGGCCGCAAGAACTTGAGTGACACTTGTTCCTTCATGCCCTGAGATGGAGGGTCCATGTGGTCATAGTTTCCCAGTCGATCCCGGTGGACCGTTAGGCCGTTAGGGGCCTCCTGAAAGACACCGTTTGCACCTGATATACTCAAAGAAATCATCATGGTTACCTGGATGGCATGGCCCTTGGGACGACGATTCTCCTCTACAAACTGGTGGTTTTTCACTTCCATTATAATTTCAGGGAGGTTAGGACGTCTAAAGATTGCTCTAATTTATAGATAATTTTTTGCATTGTAGCAGGAGCTCCTCAAGGAACAAAAAACATCGAAAGAAGAGGACAGAAGCAGAACAGTGATTGAGTTTAAACAACCTGTTCTTTGGAAACTCAAAGGGCCGAACTAGGCCGAACTATTCACCACCAACTTTGCATGTTTGTTTTTTTTTTCGTTTTGATTACTGTAAACATTTGGCTATGCCGTTTCCGTTATCCCATCAACCAAGCCCTCCCCTCGTGGAGCGCTCGTCGAGTGCTCGTTTCGGCTGTTTTGAACCTGACCATTTGGTGCCAAGCAGTTCGCTTGCTTTGTGGCATCACTTCAACGGCAACAAAGTGAAACTACCTTTCAACACACCACTTCAGGTGTGGGTTCTTTTCCTACGGTGCCATGCGTCCGGTCCTCCTCCCCTCATCGAAAAACAACCTCACCACCCGTTGGGACGGAGGAAGGAGATCCTCCTGACGAGTTGTGGCTTCGACGTGACCCAGGCGCGGCCGTTTTCGCCAGACATGAACAACACCCAAGACTCCCGGAGGTCTATGGAAATCATTTCACAGATGCATTTCATGGTATTGCAACACAAAGTCCTGCTTTGGGCATTTCTGTATATTTCAGTACTTTCGTGTGGATTGAAATAGGGAGACCTAAACCCATTCCAAACCCATTGGTTGGGTGCCGGATGGTGTCGGTGTAACCCTATTAAAATAGACCCCTGGATCTTTGGGCTTTGGGTTCTAGTCAATGATTCAAGGACAACCTGAAAAATTCAATGAAGCATGTTTTTGTTCTGATCAAGATGCGTCAAGTACCCCAGAAACCGAACACTCTAGGTAAAGTGACCTAGTCATGTGAACTGTGAACATGTTGCTAAATATCAAATTATGTGCAAGTGCGTGCCTAGATCCTCACCTAGTGACTTTGTCCATTCGAAGCTTCAGGCTCAGGCCAGGACTTGGAAGCTGGACTTCATTCGATTCTTCGCTCATTTCAATGGGACCAGAATCGAGAAACGGCCAGGACCGCTTCCACATCCACGGCTGCCAAGATGTCCCAGGTTTCGAGGCGGTCGCTTTGGGCCAGAAGGCACGGGACATGTGGATTTGTGGTCGGGCATGCGGGCATGGGCCCTTAGCATGGTTCTTAGATGATATGATTTTGGTATATGTTAGTTTTGATTATATGTAGTTTGTTCTTGAATGAAGATCATGATCATCATAGGTTATTCATGTGGCTGTTTGGCTCACATTGGCTCGGCAGACTCTTCTGTGGCCGGTCACCAGTTGCGGGTGCCGATTGAACCACCCTCCCCCCACGGATTCTCATACCCTTCCATCACCGAGACCGCAGGTGCCTTTGGAGACCGTGCAGCCAGGCATCGTCAAGCTGGTACAGGTGGCTTGACTTGGTTCGCTTGCTTTGGCGGGCAAGGGGTGAGTGACAATGAGGTGTTTACTCGTAGGGACAACACGACCAGGAAGCCCCCCTCCGGAGAAATGACAAATTCGCTGATTGGCCAAGCCTTTGTCTTCAAGAGGTTGCTTGGGTATTGAAAACGAAGACCCAAAATGGGAGAAATGAGTCAATGTATGATGACCAGTTGTTAAGTTTGTCCAAACTACTCGTGATGCAACACATGCAAAACATGCTTGCAAGGCCAAAGTTGACCCAGAGGTCACCAAGAATCAAGATGGGCACACATTTTTCACGTGGCAGGTGCTGGGTCTGCTAGGTCTTGAGCTCCCCTCTTCAGATCCCATTCGGAGTCGAAGACACATCATGCGATGTCCGAAGATCAGTCACCAGTCTTGCAGCCTTAGGGCCAAGCAAGACGAACAAATGCACAACAGTCATAAAACTCCGCACGAGAAGCCACAAACCATTTTTGGGGATGGGTCAAACCATGTCAAACCCTGCAATACCCGCAGGAAACCATGGGACATTGGCCTGCGGAGGGTACCAAGCTTGTTGGTAGAGAATGTAGAGAATGGACATGCTTTGGTCATCAACAGGATCATCGAAGCGGGATGTTAGGCCTTGGATTGATCATCCATGTTTGTAATGTTTGCCTACGCAAATTAGACGCCTATCTTCCAACAACAATTTGACAAGTGACTAGTTACTTGCCACGCTCTTAAATAGACTTCCATGCCACCTGTGGTTCCAAACCCAAAAAAACCACTGCTTTGTGGAGGAATAGATGGAATGCTTCCATAGGTCGCTCAGGGTCTGTGATAGTCTCAGGTCGGATCATCGGCGATCGGGGACCTGGTTTCTGGGTGCACTCCGACTCACATGAAAGTGGGATTCCTCCCCCTGTTTCTATCGAAAAGGTAGTCTTCCTTTCGGGCCCATGTTCCACTTCCATGCAGAGTCAGTGTCGCTTCTGTTCCTTGGGAGGGTTTCCAAAGCCCGGCTTCCTTTGCAACACGTTGCTGCGGCTGGGAGCCGCCAGGAGATCTTGGAGCAAAAACCACAGATCCGCGCGATCCTTCTAGTGCCTGAGACAGGGTACTGAGTTGTCCAGCCGCGGCTGGGGAGGGAAGGGTGATGAAGCTGTAAACAGAAGAAACTCTGAGATTGATTTGTTGACTTTGATGATGATCGTAACAGGTTGTTTGATAGGTGGCTTGTGGTGCATCCTAGCATATTTGCTTTGGGGAGATGCATTGGGAAGAGGCCCGACAAAGCTTTGGCAAACGGACACATTAAATATGAATCTTACCATTACATGCCGTTATAGTCTACTATATTACTCTATGGATCCTGGTGATTCCTGGTGATCAAACTCCTGCCAAGATCCATCGGCAGAGTGGCTACAATGAAGCTGACCGTGTCAGCAACATGTGGTTCCGGTCCTGGCCAACATGGGGAAGCATCTCCACTTTCAGCAGCATCTTCCGCGGAGAAGGTGCTGAAACGGTCCAAAACCATTGTGGACCATGCCCGAAACTCGGTTCGGCCCGAGGAGTGTACAGAGCTTCCACCCTATGCTGATGCACTGCGCTACTTTACCGGACTGCCAGTATGGGATGCTCGGGTCTATGTGGCACGTGGGTCACATGGATAACCTGTTAGGTTAGAGGCTGGAAGATGAGTCCGGATGATATGGTCAGACGGTCATCCTGTAGTCAATTCAACATGTTTGCCTCTTTGGTGGCAATGTTTGAGGATTCCCCAGGTCATTGTTCTAGCAGGTTTGAGAGTAAGTAAGCTTCGAGTTGGGCAAGACCGCAGCAGCCAATCAATCCAGGTTGGTTAAAATGTCCGCTTGGTAGATGTTTTCCTTGCGAAGGATGTTGGCAGATAAAGTAAAGTTGATCCACCCAATCTAACACGTGGGGCCGAACCTAGGCAGTTGGAAACAAAAAAATTTGGTCATGAAAACAAGGTCAGTCAAGGATTGTTCTTGAACAAAATGAAGACAAAACGCGTAAGGGACCCACGCAACACCTTGGAATAGCTCACAACTTGAAGATTCATCCCTCAGGTCTAACTTGCATGTCCCCCCCAAATAATCCACTCAGCGCCCCACCGGGCCCCACCCATGAGCGCCGAACGCCGAGGATGCCATCACGGCGGCGGACTTCTACGTGACCGCCTTCCAGGACTTCCCACGCTTTGGGCTTCAGGATTGGCAACGAGTCGCCCGGAGATGTTGTTCATAATTGGAGAGGCAAATATATATATATATATATATTATAGAGGTTCATCGAGGTATTATCGAATAATTCTTAGAACAATATACTGGAGATATCGTAATATTCCGAATATTCTAGAAATAGAATTAATATACATATACTGTGATTATAATCTATAATAAACATATTGTTCAGAATTGGTGGCAGCTTCCGTCAGGGTCTGGGTCGTGGTCCGGGTTGGGGATCGATTTCAGGTGCGGTCACCGGTGAGGTTTCCAAAGAGCGAAGGTCTTCGGTCTGAGCTGACTTAGGGCCTTTCCCAGAATTGGTTTGAGGATGTTTGTTGTTGTTTCTTTTCCGGGAACATCTACGGAATCTACAGGAAACTCTGTTTCTTTTCACCTCGAAACTTGAAAACTATGGGTTTCCTGTAGATGTTCCTTTAAGTCAATGCCAGGGATGTTTGTGAAAGGCACGGCCATGTAGATCCAGCTGAGAGTTCATGGAACAGAGGAAGGATTAAATTGTGGTGGGAAAATGATGCACCCGGGAAGAGACCCACATGGAACCTGATGACGGACCTTGGAAGCCATTCGAAGACCATCTTCCTCTACTGGTACAGTGGTTTTCAGGTTCCGTGTGGGTCTCTGAACCAGGGCGTGTGGGTGAGGTCATCACTTTGATACTGCTTGCAGAATGTTGATTGAATATATATGTTTCAACTCCCGTCTGAAGAATTCATGTTTGGGAGGTCATCTGAATCAAGAGTCTACATTTAGATCGGGCACGGCCACCAAGACATCGCGAGCGATGTGTCCTCAAAACAGCTGGTGAGCTCCAAAAAGGCAACCAAAGACAACTATAGCCGTCCAGCTCGTGGGTCTTCCCAACCAAACCCTTGCGGCCATCGCGGGTCTGTCGTCGGGTCCGTCATGGGTCCGTCGTGGCGCCAAGGAATGGGATGGCTCGCAAGAAGACTACGAACTGGGCATGAATCTCACGCGGCTTGGCATGTAGGGAGAAGAGCTCGCAGCAAGCCTGTGGCTGTTTAGCATGCTGGCCGAGTATTGCACAAACCTTTTGTATCTTTGTTTACATTTGTTTACTGTTTCTTGGGTGGTTATTGCACTGGGTCCCGTTTTCCCCATACCTTGCCAAAGAGATGCCACGTGATGTGCTTTCCTCGACCAACTGGGAGGACATGGGTTGGTCAACACAAAGATGTTCTTTCCGCTCCGTTGAGGAAGGATGAAATGGAGCTGGTGGTGAACAAGGCCAAGGAGACCAGAGAGAAGAAATCTGAGGCGCAAGAAGGCAAAGTTCCTCGGCTGATGTATTTGGCCAATATTTGGTCTAATATCGTTTGTCTTTTGTTTTTCAAGTTGACTATTCTGGAGCCTTTGTTTTCTTTTTGTATCAGAGAAACCAGGCCCCCAGCGATGTGGGAGCATTTGGGGGACATTTTGACAGGTGATTCAAGAGGAAATTCCTAGAAGTTCGCAACAGACCACAGAGATTCCTGGAACGCATCCATTCTCTCAATCCGTCGTGTCAGTATCGCCTTCAGAACGTTCGGGGTGAGTCCAAGTTGGTGATGGCACGTTCCGTTCCGACGGCCTTCTGAGACACCGTCTGACGGTGTGATTCGCAGATGATCCATGAATGCATGCATGGCATATACATATATATAAACTCATATTTACCGATATTAGGTTGTTTGAGGGCTCAATGTACAGCACAATCATATGTGTATACATACAATTCCAGTCACAGCGGATATGAAACAACCCTACCAGTCCTGTCGAACCAAGTAAAGCCTGGTCCTTGACCGAGTAAATGTAGTTTTGCAGGAGAAGAGACCCAGTGACATGAGGTCAAACTGACTTGGTCAGGCCAAGGGCATGATCACTTTCCGCTTTAAGAAGCACCGGTATTGCATGACACCAAGATCACTTGCTACCCTTTGCTCCCAAGAAGTACAAATGCACCCACCTGCTCTTCCCCTGTAGACTCGTGGAAGACATGAGACCTGTATAGACTCGACCTGCAGTTCTTTGTCTTTAGCATTAGCATCACTCATTCATATGCATTGCAGCATATTGCAGCTATTGCATTGGCCGCACGATTCTCGACCAACGTCACGTTGAAAGTCAGCTCAAACAGCATCCCTGATCCGCCGGTGGGCTGGATCCTTTGAGATCAGAAACAGTGACCTCAGGAGCAGCAGAAGGCTTCCAGGCGGATCCGACGACAGCAGGCCGGGTGTTTGCCGCGGTGGACCCGCCGCTATTGTGTCGGCTATTGTGAAGAGCAGCGCGAACTGTTCGGGGAGCGGAGGGCATGGGAAAATGACCAAACCATAGACAACAAAAACAAGCAACAAAAACATGGGTTGTGTATGGTTGTGCTTTCTTTTTTGGCTGGTGCAGCCGGAGCATGTCACGATGGAGCACGTGTCATCATTCTGTATGATTCTACCTGCATGGGATCAAATTATTGCATTGTGTTATGAACTGTGTTTCCACGACTGCATATGATCGAATTGTCCTGTTCATAGACATTTGCTGCGTCGATCGTGCTTGGCAGAGACGTACGATCGATCGTGGTTGGCAGACCAGTCTGACGGCCCGGGCGGCCCGAGACAGACATCGGCCCGGCCGTCTCAAGTAATCTCCATTCATTCCCTAGTAGCGATCCAGTTGTATGGAACCTCAGAAGGTACAACTGAACCCTCCAAAGCTACATGATAACAGTGTCTTCAATCACCATACCTCAGAGGGTATGTGGATCCATGGGGATTGTAGTGTACTCAACTGTGGAGACACCACATACAAGAGGCCTGGCCGAACAGGAAACAAATGAGTGTAACACTGCAGTTTGCAGGACATTGAGCCCTCATCAACCACCGGCATGTTCACTGGAGAAGGAGGGACCCAGAAAGACCCCGAAATCATGTAGCTGTTGTTTCCCCCTGGGTCCCGGGTGAGCAGGGGTGAGCTGATCCGCATTAGCTCGATGGAGGCGCCAATTCTGGGCGTGATCCGCTTGGACTACAACTACCCCCCGGCCAAGGGCGACATCGACTGCCCTGGCAGTTCCCGGACAGGGTGAGGGAACGAATCGGAAGTGGAAAAGAGATGGGCGTGAATAGATGAATATAGTGATATATATTATAGTAATATTACTGGAATATACGTGTACTGGAATATATGAATATACAGTAATATACGTATGTGTATCAAAAAGGGTGACCTCCGAGTTTGAACCTGGAAGAGGGGAACTAGACCGAAGCCATTCAATACCGGTAGTGAGACCAAGTTGATGGTGCTGGTTTACTTTCGGAATTAAAAGAAGAAGACAAAGGAGCGACCTTGTGCTTACCCTATGCGGGATGAATCCGTGTTGGGTGATGAAGCTCCTGCAGACTTGTGTATGCACTTGAGAGCGGTTGTGCAAAGTTTCAACTGGATGATTGAGGGTCAGCACAGGTGTGACTTCATGTGTCACAGAGGTGGCTTGAAACGATTAGGCTACCTGAGTGCTACCACTTATATGTTCTGCTTTCATGAATGTTCCGAACCACAAGACCATTTGCGATTGTTTGTGGACATATTTCCATGTGGGGCGTCATCCTACTTTCAATCCAGAGACGCGCCGTGGAGACCTCTTGTGCGTCGAGGCGTCGTTTGTGTTTGCCTTACGCTTGGCTGAGGGCAAGCACTGCACAGAGACATTTGTGCGAGAAACTATTAAAGGCCAAAAATACCCATTGGTTGTGGGTCTCCCGATCTAAATACGCACCCTAATATGGATCTTCGGATACGTAGTAGGGTGTTGGAGCTGAAGAATCTTTCACCATCTCTCCCTGATTTTGATATTTTGAGAGATGTGTCAATCACTCCATGGTTGTCCAGCAACTTCTCACAAAATTATGTCATAGGCCGACCATTATGTTATGGATAGTGGGACTTGCCGGGTTGCTGCCGACAAACCAACTACATTCATTCTCAAACCAATTTGAAGATTGTTGCCACCCAAAAGTATGATGTGGGAAATTGATACCGGCTAAAAAATCCCAAATCCGATCCTACTTCGATCATGATTTGATGTTTGTTGTTATCAATCTAGTTTGCAACCTGAGTACAAACTAATTGTAAGTTATTCCTAAGTTTTCAGGCGGATGAATACAACAGATCGAATAGATCAGTCAGTCGTCATGAGTTCAAACTCATTCAGTTCCACGTCTGACTGCCGTTCAAGCTGGTTGAAGAGACTGTTGTTTCCCACCAGTTGGTGCGTAGGTCAGTCAGTGTTGGTGTTTTCCATGTGCAGTCGATCCGCAGGAGCTGCTTGTTCCTACCATAAATGCATTTGATCATGTCAGTGGTGCGCTTATGCAGTTTCTAAAGGTGTTCTAACAATGAAAAAGATGCAGAATGTATCACCACGGCAGTAACTAGAGACCGTTCTTTTTTTGTGCCGCCACCATTCAATACTGGCGTTCTCGCCAACTCCATGGACCCGTCGTTGAGTTCTCGCAACTGAGGATGTTTGTGCGCAAGGGGTCCAGTCGGAACAGTGGAATAAAGAACGGAGAAATCTCATGAGTCTTATACTATGTTAATGGTGGAAAAGAGCTGTCCAAGTAATACTTCATGATGATTGTTGATCAATCTAGTTTGCAATCTGAGTTACAACTGAATTGTAAGTCTTGGCCACGGCTGTTCCGCCAGCGAAGACCCATATGGGTGCGCCATGACCATGCCATGATAGTCCATCCGAGTCCACCTTGAGGCTATGAGTATGACGTTCTCTTCCGTGTGGTTCCTGGCTTTACCTTCGCCATGGCCATGACGGGGCAAATGTCACCGGATGTGGAGCAGGCGGGGGCGACGCAAAAGACATGAACAACATGTACCTTTTGGATCACCTCTATTAAATAATAGCCCTTATGTTATTCCAAGCACATTATATAGATGAACGGCCACAACAGCAGCAGCTAACAACAAGAGCCATGAGGTTCTTACACAATGTATATAGCAAGACGGTCACCAATCACTTGTCATTTGCTATTGCAAGTTCTTCTTTAGATAGTGTATATATATTTAATAGCTACTAGGCTGCTATCGCTGCGCCTTTGCTACTAATGCTGCTTGCAGTACTGCTACTCCTCCTCACTCGTTTTGCGCAAAAAAAGAACAAACCCTGAGGAGTTCATCGATGCTGTGAAGTGGTTGGAGGGTCGTGGGGTCGCAGGCATTACTGGCCACTTGGGAACGGATTGAGTTCACCGGGGCAGGTGGGGAAGCCGGGGTGGCGCGACGAAGGCGCTTGAAGTCACGACACGACCCTTCCGGTCCCCATATTTCACCGGTCAGGCAGGCTTTCAAGCTTGCAACATGTTGTCGATATACCATCCTGTCAGACAAGCATTCTAGTAATGGCTGGATGTTTGTCACTTGGCAGCTGGTTGTCACTTGGGTGGTTATGTTTTGTGCTTAGGTTCTTTCAAGACCACTTGTGCCCGCACTGCAGAGATCTTGGGTTTGTTGTTGTTTTCTAGACTCTAGACTTGATCGCAGAACAAAAACACTCCATGGGCTACTATGAACCATCTCGACCCAAACAAGATGAACCTCCAGATTGCGCAGAATTGTTCTTCTGAGCTGGGCAGCCGATCGTCTCCCGGTGCACGCAGCCGATCGTTTGCCTCCCATTCCAATTCTAGTGGAACGTTTGCCGTGCTTTCTTCGAGGATTAAAACACAGTTGACAGAAGACAGGTGTGACTGGGTGCCAGGAGGATGCATATCATTCCAAGAAGAATTCTGGCGCGCCAATGTGATTTTGTGTTGTTGTGAGAAGGACAAGGAGCATTGCCGTTGGCAGCTTTGCTTGCACCCCATGGCTGCAAGTGCATCAAGCGAGCTTGCAGACATCATGGGGCTGGCTGGGGGTATCTGGGGACTGTTGCAGCAATGGACCCAGCGTATACCCTCACATACGCAGCGTGCCTTTGCTTCGCCGGACCAAGGTGATTGTGGGTTTATGATGGCCTTCCAGCCGCTTGCCAGTCGCTTGGAGCAATTTGCGCAAGGCTTTTTGTGTTGACTCAGGCTGCACTCACATCCTGACTACATTGAAGTTTGTAGCCATGGCTGGTGCAAGACAGCTGACAGCTCACTGTTGCTGGCAGTCAAAAGCACGACGTAGGGCTTGGTCTGGTCGTGGCAAGCAGGTCTCAAGGTTCACCAACCACGAGTGGCACGGAAAAGATCAGAGATACCAGAGCCGTTTCTGTGTTCTGCAACAACAAAAGCCATTTTACACAGCGCAAAACATATCAATGCAACATGTTTCAACTATAGTGATGACAAAGTAAAGCGTAGAGTGGGAACCATCCAAACATATTCAAAACTATAACCACCCCTTTAACCATGAAAATTTGGGGGGGACCCAACATGTAAGTTACATTGTTGGCCACCCCCCACCCCCAACAAACATGTAACTTACATGTTCCCACATGTTGTTCAAATCATACCCCCGGAGGGGGGTGCAGGCAAATCCCCTGACGACACGCATATATATATATATATATATACAATATGTGTCAACGAAACTGAGAGTTTATAAAGCAGGTTAGGTTGCCCCTTGATGCCACAAGTCCTGATGAAGTAGCCTATCCTACTTCACGATGTTAACAAGGGCCAGGGTGGCGTTGGTGGCCACACCACCTTTGAGGTCAAATCGCATCGGTGCCGGTCTTCATGAGTTCGATGATGCAATGCCCGATGATCTCTGTGGCCTTCGACAAGTACGACAAGGCGATCGGAGTCGGCGTTGTTGGACAGCAAATCGACCAAATCTGTGGCAACGGTGCGACCATGTGGTGCCCACAAACGTCGATTCTCACAGAACCACCTGGCTTTGAGGTGATGAGGTCGGAAATGGCTTAAGGTGTTCGCAGTAGGTGGCTGCGTTGGTGGGAACGGTAGAAAGGCCTTAAACGAAAAAAAATAGAGGAACCAAAGTAGAAGATGTCGACCAAACGACATATTTCCAGTTTTTCTATATTCCACCGTCAAGCAAACCAAGGCAGCTCTACATACTTCTATGATACCAGGTAGGAGGTCCTCACAATCAAGCAAACCCAGATGAATCGATTGTGTCAGTTGGAAGTTGCTCAATTGTTCAATGTTTTCCACATATTTGTCATGCCTTTTGTCCGGGTGTATCGGGGGTATTGTTTCACACACAGGTGAGCGGTTGCCCAGACTTGCGAAACATAGACAAATATGGGGCAAGGAGATCAGGTCTTCATAGAATGTTATGCAACCAGAGAATGTTATGCATATATATATATATATACACAAACAAGTTGTATTAACTTTTCATTTTGTGCGAGTGTGAGAGGAAATGTGCTCGCCTTCGACATGTGTTATCCCCATGTCCTCCTGCGAATCATCGGCTGTTGCGGCATGTCTTGAACGCAACAGGTGTTGATCCTCACAGCCAACGACGAGTCGCTTAAACCTCAAAAGGAGACCCTGTTGCGACAGTGCGGTTTCAACGTCGATGACCAGCGGCTCGGATGGGTCGGTGGAAACAATTAACCGTATTGGGCGGAGAGAAGGGCGGTGTACGGTATACGATACATGGCTGTTTGATGTTCTTCTCGGCTGAAACTTTTAACTTGGGGAACAAAGTTCATGCTCCCAACACTTTTTTTTGTGCAACTTGTGGGCAGCTTATCACTTCTCACCGGGTGTTCCACAAAAAAGGAAAACCTGTTCTACACGAGAAAACAACGACAGTTTTAAGAACATGTTCTTGTCACGGCCCTAAATGTTTTGGTTCCTGCTGTTTCTCATACCTGTGAACCGCCAAAACGACCATGGGGTGAGTTCAAAAGGAATGGCAGTGGCGTGTTTGAGGCGGGTTAATTTGGTATATTGAAATTCTGCAAATGTCAACATGCTAGAGAGTTCTTAGAAAACAAACAATCAGATACCAAAGGTGCTGCCCAGTGGGATTTGCCTCAAGAAGACGATGCAAAGTGAATCCAAGTCATTGTTTTTGTTCAGCATTTGCGTGCGCAGTGTGTGGACGGTTTGCAAGTTTTTGCATAAGTTGAAGTTGAAACGATGTTATCCCAGTAGTGTGCCCATTGTGCTTCGGAAAATCAGAGTTGACTTAAAACGCGCGGGTCAACTTAGCCAGAACGTAGTTCCATGCAGTTGGGTTGATTTAAAACGCCGTGGGTTGACATAAATACAGCGTTTGCTTGTATCCGCTGGACTCTAGGCGTTTCATGATCCTTGGCTGTCAGAATCTTGGCCGCAATCAGTAATGCGACAAAGTGACAAAGTCCAGAGTTTGTTTGACTGCCGATGATCTTCGTCCGAAACGGTTGTGCGTTCCTCAACCCTTAGACGCTCTTGAACGCCTACTAAGAGGGTAGCACATTGCTGCTGCAAAGCCCATAGCCTGCTCAATGAGAAATGTGAAGTCTTCTTGGCCAACACTGCAGAAACCCACTCGATTCCTGCATTTTCCTGGTATAAAGAGCTTTTGACGTCTATTGTCGGGTAGGCGAACTGAGCTGACCTCTCGACCTCCAACTAAATGGGATGTTGAATATTAAACGTTTAAGATGAACATTGCATGATAGGAACATGTGACACATGTGTTTCGGAGACCAGGACTTCAACTCTTGAGTGGCTCTTGGGTTTCCTTTTTGGTGTTTCCCTTTTGGTATACCGGCACACAGCTTTCGCCCGTGAACGATCCAGACGCCGTCAGGGATGTGCCGGGTTTCAACGCCGTGGCCGAGGGGAGAAAGGCCCAATCCGCGACGTCGCGTCGTGTCCGACGCCTGGGAAAGCCAGTCCAGTGTCCAGTCCCCAGCGTCGATTTGGAAAGCCTCATTGAGTAGGTCATATGGATGTGTATATAGTAAGGGCTCCGCCCTGGTGCCGCCGACCCCTTTTCTTGGGGGAGGAGCTGGAAGACCAGAAGCCGGACAGGGATTGCTATAAGCATACACCGGCTATGTGCTCAAGACTCTGTATTCTTGATTCCTTTTACCCGGGCTTAGGCTACACTACGGACGCGCCAGTGTATGCACAGTCCTTGTCAGGAAAGCTGAGATGAGCTGTGTGCCTGAAACCTTGACATATCACACTGGTGGTGCTTGCTGCCGGCGGCGCTGCTATAACCATACACCGGCTATTTCCTCAAGACACTCTATTCTTGACACCTTTTACCAGTGCTTATCCTACACTACGGACGCCCTAGTGTATGCACAGTCCTTGTGATGCTTACCCCTCGTTCCGGCTGAAGGCATAGATAAGCAGGGGGTAAATCGACCCCCCCAGATTTGCCGTAACCATAAGCCGGCTATTTCCTCAAGACACTCCACTCCTTATACCTTTTACCAGTGCTTAGCCTACACTACGGACGCCCTAGTGTATGCGCAGTCCGTATGAGGTCAGAAATGCTTATACCCCTCTTTCCGACTCAAGGCATACAAAAGCGGCGGGTAAATTTCCCCCCCCGATTTGCGGAGCACGCATGTTCATGCTTGCCAACGAGTGCACCCGGGTTGTTCCAATGTACCCTGCCCAGTGAGCGATGTCGCATTTACATTCTCTAGCGCCAAGTATGTACATAGCAAGCTGCCTCCCAAAACATGTAATCCCTACACGCTTTGCCGACTATGTAACTAGTACATCCGGTGCGACTCGGCTAGCGTTCGACCTGCTCCCCCTGGCTTCAAGTGATGCTTATCCCTCGTTCCGGCTCAAGGCATACATAGCGGGGGGTAAATTTCCCCCCAACATTGGCAATAACCACAAACAGGCTATGTCCTCAAGACACTCTATTCCATATACCTTTTACCGGTGCGTCTCCGACACTACGGACGACCTAGTGTATGTACAGTCCGTATGATGTCAGAAATGCTTACCCCTCTTTCCGACTGAGGGCATACAAAAGCGGAGAGAATTTACCCCCCAGATTTGCTGATCACGCATCTGCGTGCCTGCCAACGAGCGCACCCGGGTATTTGCTGATCACGCATCTGCGTACGTGGCCTGCAACGTGGTTTCATTTGTTTACTTTTCCAATGTGTTCACGTTCCTGGACAGGTTTGCGATGTTCAGAAACTTAGCGGTGACAAATCAGTTTGAATGTCGAACCGTTTTCGAAGTAGCTGGCTGAAATGATGACGAAATATATTTAGCGATGCGTCGCTTATTTTGCAAGATGTCTTTGAACGTATATATGACCTTCTTGTCTTACATTTATCAGAGATTTTGGTGTTTCGACTTCGGTATGTTAAAGACCAAGACTGCACGAAACCACCTCCTATTTGATTGCTCAGGACGCCACCATGGGGCTTGCGCACCGTGCAAAGGAGCTGTTGCAAGTTGTTGCAAGTCCTCAAGTGCGCGCCTCTTCGCACATATCACAGGCGGTGGTGGCGCAGGGCGAGTGTGATGTCCAGGATCGTCATCATAGTGGTTCGACCGGAGTGAACTCTGCCCATAGCATCTGCTTGGAGCTCCGAAGAAGAATCTGAAGATGATTGCTGATTCCTTGCAAACCAGTATAGAAGATTTTTTGTACCAAAAGTGGGCAAGCTCTTGTTTACATTCGGGCTATGGACGCTGAGGTTGAGACAGGAGTGCTGACCAATCCCAGGAGGGGTGCTAGGCCCGTCTGGGTATGGCCCTGGTCGCTCCAAAGGGCCGCTTGGGCAGCAGTCCTTGCCAAAACAGGGTTTACCATGCGGGACATGCGGCCCTATTCACTGCTACTGGGGATTGGCTCCTAGTTTTCTGATGCTTTCTGTAAGCAATGGACAGGCGAAGACGAACGTGCAGGCATGTAGTCATACTATTTGTGTATAGTCCATACATTTAGTGAAATGATATTGGACCGGCATTTAGGGCAAGAAGGTGTTAAACAGCTGTTTGGCGCAAGGGCAGATACATCGAAGCACGTTGTGATACCTGCTGGCGGAAGCATTTCGGCAGTAACGACCTTCAGGTCCGCGGCAAGCAGACGCCGTCGGCCGCATGGAAGGTCCGATAGCTGCGAGAGAGTGGGACGGCGGGGTGGCAGTTGCAGTTTGGGCAAGCTATGTTGTTCTCCATGAAGCTGCAATTGGCAAGCGGGGGCGAGAGGGAAATTATTCTGTTGGACTTCCTGTGAGGTGCCAGAGTGTGATTTGGAATGCCTGGACTAGACGGTTCATATGAACTTGGCTGCTGGATGCTGCCCCCGCGGGGCGCAGATCTGCGCGATGTTCGCTGAGGCTTTCGCAGACAGGCAGCGGCGACAGAGGCGTGCGGAATTGCAGACATTGACAGAAATGCACAGGATTGTTGTTGGAAGTCGTATCCGATTCTTTTCCATTACGGTGTTCAAAGGACTTCCGATGGCGATGTCAGAAACGAAGGACGGCGGAAGACGGTGGTCATTTAGCATATTTCCTGACTTGACCACGAAAAACGAAGAGAAAGAACTAATGGGACATCGGGGATCAGAGGGCAACGAACCACATGAGGACTTCAACACATATTATGACTGGTGGACTAATGTTTAGATGACCGGTTTCAAGATGATTGTTCCGTTTAATGGTTGTAGTTGATGTTTTCCGTTGGTGTAGTTACCGGGTTCTTGTTCTGGAAGAATGTTTTGTTACCTCCTCATTCGGTCACTTGAGGGTGAACAAGCTTGGTCGGTGGGTCCCTTGTGTGGGACTTCTTGAAGTCCAACGACGTAACGATTTGGTAGAGAATTTGACTGGAGAAACCGCAAGCTAGACCTCTGACCATTTTGACTGAACTCTTCTGGGATCACCAAGATCCAGATGCCTACTGAAAAAGCATGAGAAACCTGTGGCACAATGGCGCGCGGGGTCAAGTAAGATCGCGCCAGGGTACCCAGGCTATGCCGCATCTTTCGCTCCGCCCGTCGTTGGTCCTCCGCGTACGTACCACTCGAACAAGCCTTGTTGACGGCTGGACTTGCCACACCTGCGCCTCTTCGCGGGGGCTCCCCTACCGCTAGCAACCCGCGCTCCGCTCCCCAACCTGTTCCGCGTCTCAACTCTTCCGAGGCATCAAGTGCCACCCTAGGGGCGCCCAAGCGGGCACGGGACAGACCCGCTGAGTGCTGCGCAGCACCTCGCGCACTTACAGCCCGCGCGGAAGGCCTAGCGCTCACTATGCTGGCGCTGGCAGCCTCGTGCATTTTGTGCCCGCACGGAAGGCATGGGACCGCCTGGGTCGCCCTCATCGCTCTCGATGACTTGAGCCTTTACTGCGGGCGCCACCGCGGCTGCTTCGGCCCTGTAAAGCCTCAACCTCTACAAACCCTTTCCTTGCTGGATACCATCGACTTCCATAAGCACGTGAGGTTGTATAAAAACCCCCTATCCTTTTGCCTTACCACTTTTGGCGTTATCGTGTTTTTTCTTCCTTATCGTTTTACAGTACTTTGACTAACTGCAACATATGTAACACATATAGTATACATGTGTGTGTGCACTGCGTGCATGTGGTGTGGAACCTGCAGACATGAGGACATTCGGTACAATTCCCCA